CAACGTGATACCTTTTGGCCTGCTGTACATGAGACCCCTACAGTGGTGGCTAAAGACCAAGGGGTTTTCCCCGAGGGGAAATACGCTTCGCATGATCAATGTCACGCGGTGATGCTTTCGTGCCTTAGACATGTGAAGGACACCTTGGTTCTTGTCACAGGGCCCGGTGCTGGGAGTTCCTTGTCGTCTCATAGCCTCTGGTCTCTCAACTGAGGTTGTTGAGACCATTCTCCAATCCAGAGCTCCCTCTGGATTGGAGGAAACTGTACGCATTGACGTGGAAGCTTTTCACTTCTTGGTGCGGAGACCACCAGCTTGACCCAGTTAATTGCCCGGTTGGTTCAGTGCTGGAGTTCCTGCAGGCCCGTTTCTCCACGGGGTTGACCTACTCCACCTTGAAGGTCTACGTGGCGGCCATAGTGGCCTACCACGTCCCTCTCGGTGGTCAGTCTGTGGGCAGAGACCCCCTGGTTACACGTTTCCTCTGCGATGTGCTGAGGCTGAGGCCTCCGGTACGATCTCGTGCCCCTCCGTGGGACTTGGCTGTGGTGCTAGAGGCTCTCTGTAAACCTCCTTTCGCCTATTTAAGAGATTTCTGATCGCTTTCTCACTCTCAAGACTACCTTCCTTCTGGCTATCTCCTCTATCAAGAGAGTTGGTGATCTGCAGGCCCTCTCAGTGGCCTCCTCTTATTTAGATTTTGCGCCCAACTTGGCCAAAGCTTTTCTCTACCCCAGGTTGGGTTATGTTCCTAAAGTCCCCTCTTCTGCACCAAGGCCCGTCATACTGCAGGCCTTCTGTCCTCCTCCCTTTCGGGAGCCTGACCAGCATAAGCTTAATTGTATGTGTCCAGTGCGAGCACTGGACGCATACGTCCACAGAGCTGCCCTGTGGAGAAGGTCGGACCAACTGCTAGTGTGCTATGGTCCCCCTAAGAAGGGTCTTCCGGCCTCTAAACAGACCCTCAGCCGGTGGATTGTGGAGGCCATCTGTTTAGCCTACGAGTCCTCTGATCTCCCCTCGCCTCCGGGGGTCAAGGCTTACTCCACCCGAAGTGTGGTGGCCTCCAAGGCCTTTCTGTCAGGTGTTTTGATGCAGGACATCTGCAACGCTGCGGGCTGATCTACGCCGCTCACCTTTGTGAGGTTTTATGACCTCGATATTCATGCCACTCCCAGCTCCTCTGTTCTCTCGCCTTAGTTGTGCTCTTCCACACTAGGCAGGGATTTGAAAGTCTGGCGGCATAGGCACACTCGTTCCCAAAGCGTTTAGAAGCAGCTCGAGTTCCTGACGGGGAACGTCTCTAGGTTACGCATGTAACCATGGTTCCCCGAGGGAACGAGACGCTGCATCTCATTACCATACTTCCGGCATCCCTGCGAGTACTTCCCTCATTCTACCAGAAGCTGCCGCTGTATCTACCGCACGTGCTTTTAGGCTTCCTGGTCTCTACGTCACCCCGCCGTGACGTCTCGCCCATCCATTGGACTGATTACACATGTGATTCAGAGCGTGGTCACGCTGAATGCATTCCCAATGCGTTTCGATGCAGTCTCGTTCCCTCAGGGAACCATGGTTACATGCGTAAACTAGAGACGTTTTCTTTAACCAGATGGATCATAAAGAGAATGTTACTTGAGTCATAGTGTTTGTAAGCTGAATAGTTAATCAAAATGGTTCTCTTGAATCACATAATGTGGAGAAAACACACGCAATGTGTCTGTGTACACAACGATGTCAATCTTCTGCGGCGGTGAATGTTGTGCTGTCGAAGCAGCCGCACTTCACATCTCTTCTAAAACATCTCTTTGCTGCAAAAACTGCTTCTGCTGCTTGAAATCCTGCAATTATGTGATTAGCAGATTATAGTCCATCACCGGCAGTGAATGCATGTTTGTCCCCGACTGACGTCTGATAATGAACTGGAGATTGTTTTTGAGGGACAAACATGCGGACAGACACAAAAACAATACAGACTAATAATTCTGCAGACGAGACTCTGTTCAGCAGCTCCTCATCTGCTTCAGTTCTAAACAATGAAATTACACAAACCAGAGACTGGCCTTACTCGGAAAATCATTTCCCGTTAGTATCAGTAGAAAATAATAATAAATAAACAGACCGTAACCTCTTTAGGGAAACCCAGCCAGTTATACCAGCGTAAGTGATGAAATACACGCATCTGCTGACGCACATTAATGCAGTTCAACAGAACGCAACATCAGTCTGAGACCGAAGGAGCGTTTGACAAAAATAAACCTTAAACACAGAAAACAGAGACTTCAACATGGCAGATCTGTCGCTCAACACCACATGCAGTCAAAACACCAGCGACACAAACACACCAGAGTGTAATTATCCAAACAATTTACAATAATGTCTCATTAGTTAATGCATTAACTACAATTAACTAACAATGAGCAACACATTTGTTAATGTTAGTTCATTATTCATTGTTAATTCATATCAGTTCAGCTCCATTAAATATTTTAAGAGAGACCACTTTGGAATAATGTATTAGTAAATGTTGAAATTACCAGTAGCTAAGATTAATGCTGGCTTTAGAAGTATTTATAGAATTAGTTCATGTTAACTAATGTAAAATGGAATCATACTGTAAAGTGTTACTGATATTTATTAATTATCAGAGTGACTGTTAGTTCTTCAGGCAGCTGAAGGACATTTTTTGGTCCCCATGAGGAAACAAGCTTATGAATCACACAAAGTGTTTTGAGAGTCTAAAACGCCTGTAGTTTAGTGTGAGGGTTGGGTTTAGGGTTAGAGGAGAGAAAATACAGTTTGTACAGTAGAAAAACCATTATGCCTATGGAATGAACACATAAAACATGGAAACTAGTGTGCGTGAGTTTGTCTGAGTGTGTGTGTGTGTTATAGTGTGTGTTACCTGTGTAGCGTCTGTCCAGCAGGCGTGTGCTCCACCTCATAACCTTCACTCCGCAGGACGTCAATCACAGTGTTGTTTCCCAGAAAGTGGCCTGAAACACAAACACTCCACCTTCAGTCTCTGAACTCAAGTTAGTCAGTCTGACACACACACACACACACACACACACACAGCCTGCGGTGCGGAAGCGGTCTGTAATGTTAGATTAGTTCAATGATATTTCATGTCTGTCTCGTTACAGGAAGAGCTGGTCACATGACAGTCCTGTTTGCCTCTGGGAATCATGAACTTCCTGTCAGAGACTCTCTGATGGATCAAGATCACTAGTGTGTGTGTGTGTGTGTGTGTGTGTGTTTCCCCTCGCTGAGGTTCAGGTGTTCAGTCGGATCAGATGCTGCTAATGTCAGAATGCTGTCTTTATTATTATTATTATTAACCATCCGTAGCTAATCTGGAGGATCGTGATGGTTTATTCTATAATAACCACTGATTTCAATCACCCATCATGCATCAGTAACACTGAATCAAGTTAGTCCAGTGAACTCAGTTTTAAAAAATCATAGTATCAACGAGTGTTCACAAACAGCGGCACAAACTTGCGTGATTGAACTACAGCTCTCGACCAGCGGTTAAACACAGATTCATGTCAATATAACCAGGACTTATAGAGATCATGCTTTTGGCACAATTGGCAAGATACTCCAATTATATAATTATTTATTTACAGTGTTGGGGAAAGTTACTTTTCAAAGTAATACAATATGTGGTTACTCCATTAAAAAGTAACTAATTGCATTACTTAGTTACTTTTTATGGAAAGTAATGCATTATGTTACTTTTGCATTACTTTTTGTCACCTGAGCTGGGCTTGCTTATTTATTTTTAGTGATGTCATTAATGACATGGTTAATGGTAATTGTTCATTGATTGTGGAATCAATGTGGTTCAAACGATGGTGTGACCATGGTTTCAAGAAACAGTCACAACTATCTAGTTCATTTCTGCAACACTGCATCGTACTATGCGTTGCGTACTATGCGCTGCGCACTATGCGCTGCGCACTATGCGCTGCGCACTATGCGCTGTGTAGAACTTTATATTTCTTATGAAAACTTTTTCTGTAAAGCACTTTGAATTACCACTGTGTATAAATAAACTTGCCTTGCTTTCCTATTTGTGCTTGAAAACATGACAAAATTACTGAAGAAGACAATCATTTTTTGCAGTGAAAGAACATGTGATTGGAAACCCACTGCAGTCTCCGCTAGTATTTTTTCACCATTATTAATCAGATGCTGCTGTTTGCAATAAAATAAATAAAGCAGTGCTCCGCTTCATTCACCCACAGAAACCTCAGCATCGCTAACCGGAGCGGACGTTTCCAGCTAATACACGTATCACGTCTCATTTGTCTTATATTTAGCCTCCGCTTATGGGCAGATTATGGATTTACTAAACCACGGCTGTCATTTGCCTTCGTCCACAGACGCAGATCATCTGGAATTAAACTCCGATTAATGCTGATACACGAGTGTTTGATTACATGTGTGGTTTGTGCATCAATAAAACGCTGCTCTACGACTATCATTAGCCTGATGCCACCAGTCGAGAAACCCCTAAACCCAGTAAACGTGGTAATTATGTTGAAAATGTACAGACTCGCCAAGTCTGAGCTTTGATATTTAACAGCCGGACAGAGCGGCTCCTGCGCTGACCTCTGACTGACCCTGAGCTAATGGAGGTAGCTAACCACTGTAATCCTACAGGAGCAGAGAAACACAGTCTAGTGCAGATACAGGGAAATTATCACTGACTGCCACATCACTGCAAATCAAATCAAACCTGAGCATTTGACACAATGAGTTCTTCGTGGAGATAAAGGAGTAGTTCACCCCAAAATGAAAATGTGTTCACCCTCAGGCTATACAAGATTAGGATGAGTTGTCATGTGTCACTGCATCAGTGTCTCAGCAATGGATGCTCTGCAGTGAATGGGTGCCGTCAGAATGAGAGTCCAAACAGCTGATAAAAACATCACAATAATCCACAAATTATCTTCATGGCTCCGGTCCAGTGTAATGGGCGTAACACATTACAAGTAACGTGAGTTACATAATCAGATGACTTTTTTTCAAGTAACTACAGTAGTAAAGTAATGCATTACTTTTTAATTTACAAGAAAATATCTGGGTTCAAATAAGTAACAGCAGTGCCTCTGTTCTCCACGTATCGACTGACGGCTCTCCTGTCCTCATGTTGAGAGAAATCAGGAGTGAGTGCAGAGACCGAGACGGAGGAGTATTCATCTCACTTTTGCTGTGAAAGGGATTTACAGTCGCCAGAAGATAAAAAATAAGCCCAGCTCAGGTGATAAAAAGTAACGCAAAAGTAACATAATGCATTACTTTCCAAATAAGTAACTAAGTAATTATTTAGTTACTTTTTTATAGAGTTACACAATATTATAATGCGCTACTTTTAAAAATAACTTTCCCCAACACTGCTTCAGTCCATCAATTAAAGGCACAATATGTAATTTTCGCCGCTAGAGGGCGCGTATTCAAAATAAACAAAGAGGCAAAGGCGTAGTTTGATGACGCTGTGACTGAGTGTGGAATCATGGGAGTTGTGGTCTTCATCCACACAGCCGATGCAATCCGACGGGACTCGGGCAGAAATCATGTTCATGGATGAGCTAATGATTTATTAACATAGTAGAATGAAGGATTTAAACATTCTTCGAAACATTTGGGATAATGTAAGTACACAAGTCAGCAAAATATATAACACTGTTCTAGTGGTTTTTGGATATTTTAATAAAAAAATCTTACATATTGTGCCTTTAATGCCTTGTGAAGCCAAAAGATGTGTGTTTGTAAGAATCAAATCCATCATTAAGATGTTTTTATCCTCAAACCATTGCTTCTGGCAAAAATACGAGTCTATAATCCATAATAACGCTTCCTCCAGTGAAAAAGTGTTCTGGTGTGAATCAGGAGAGGAATCTGCACAGATCAAGCAGCGTTTAAACAGCTCTAAACTGTAAAGATTTTGTCTTCTCCAGATGTTAACTGATGGACTGGAGTGCTGTGGATTACCACTCATCCTTGGATGGCCTGAGAGTGAGCACATTTACAGCACATGCTCATTTTTAGGTCAAGTATTTCTAGACTAGACAGAATATTCTTGTTCTGGGGTTTCCTGCATCTATAAACTCAATATATAAACTCTTCTCATAAACTCATGTGAACACTATGGAAATGTCGCTGGAATTACCAGCATTGGAAAAAGTTTGTATGTCCAACATTATTCCCATTCAAATGCGCCAGAAAATGCATGAATTCAAAAGTCAGAAATGTATTCGATACAAAGCCACACCCTGCTGATTTTAATAAGGTGCAATGAATGGTTAGTTGTCGTTGAAAGCTCGAGTCTTGGCATAAACGCGTTTTTCTTCAGTTTGGATTATTAGACGTGGTGCTGGAGGTAAACGCTGCATAAAATCCAACAAAGAAGCAAAGCCAAATAAAATCTCCCAGTGTTATTTCAGCGCTCTCATTAATACTCTCTGCTCCTCCGTCCAAATCTGAAGTCATGATTCCTTCAGTCAAGGGACTTTCATATGTCACAGGGAACTCTAGATGTTGTTATTGCTGAAGGCGCTTCATCTCGTCTCGAGTCGCTCGAAGTCTCTGATAAGTGGGCGACGAGCTAAAGGCACGAATAAAACAACTGCAGCACATGTTTTTACAATACTGTGGTATTTTTGTTGGAAGTGGTGTCCGTGGAGGAATGTTTAATGGCAGTTAACATGCTTTAACACTGAGAGCTTGAAAGCAGAGAGCCAGTCCTGCGTGAGCGGCTCTCGACGGCGCTTCGGTGAAAAACGATGTGCTGTCAGTCGCTAATCAAACGCTGAAGGGACGGAGACACACAGACTCCAGAAAACAAGACTGAACACAAACTCACAGCTGTGTTGTGCACAAAACTTGTGCTTCATTTTTTCCCCAAATTTCTTTTTGACAAAGGTGATAACTTTTTTCAGGATTCTTAGAGTAGAAAGTTCAAAAGAACAGCATTTTTTAACTTTTGTAACATTATAAAGTCACAGTTAATGCAATAAAAATAATTTCTTGTTTATCCCCGTTTTTTGAATGCATCACAGTTTCCACAAAAATATTGTGCAGCACAACTGTTTTCAACATTGATAATAATCAGAAATGTTTCTTGAGCAGCAAATCAGCATATTAGAATGATTTCTGAAGATCATGTGACACTGAAGACTGGAGTAATGATGCTGAAAATACAGCTGCACATCACAGAAATACATTACAGTTTAACACATATTCACAGAGAAGACAGCTGTTTTAAAGTCTAATAATATTTAGCTTTTTTTTTTTTTTTTTAACAATATTTTTAATCAAATAAATGCAGCCTTGGTGAGCAGAAGAGACTTCTTTCAGAAACATTAAAAAAATATCGTAATTATTCCAAACTTCTGACCGCTAGTAAATTGTTTATAAAGGTGGATTTGCAAAATGTGCAAATAAAGTGTTTAAAAAGCATGATTAAAAGAAAGGTTATTAATAAAATGTGGGGAAAAAACTGCTTATGTAATAATAGCACCAAATCTCTTGATAAACATTACCAACTATCGTGCTCAAACAGCGCAGACAAGAACCTCGTTCAACTCAAAACATGCTTTCAAATGGATAATGCATCAGAACAGTGCAGTAAAACAACCGTAAAATCACTGCTCCACAGGTAAATGACTCTAAATGTGAAATCTGCAATACAAGCTACGAGAGACTAAAGACGGGTGATTGTGAAATCCTGCTGATGAACACACCAGATGTTTTTCCTCACACATGTGGGCAGATACACTGATAACATCCACTCCTCAATGCCCCAATTATAATGAAAGAGAGGATTCCAGCGTTCATTCAGCAGAAGCTGCTGATGTTGAGAGAGAACGAGTGAAGTCTGTAGTGCACAAAAGAGAGAATGTGACGCCCTGCGATGCCAGAGTGAGATACGCTTCTACAGACACGGGTCGCTTTACTAGGAAGCACTCACCAAAGAGCTCAGACTTTACACAGGCATCCAGTCACAGTACAGCAGCATGAGCTGACTCGGGTTAATAAAGCAGCGCTTCACACAAACCTGAGCCGTCTGCTTCAAACAAGACTAAACAAGCCTCGCAAATACAGCCTTTAAACTGCTCGAAATCAAGATGTAAGATGACACCATATTTTATCACCTCTGCATCTGTTGATTTTTACCATTTTTACTTCAGAACCAGAGTTCTCACGTTTATGGAGAATATTCAGTTATTGTAATAGGTCACACTTTATATTAAGTGGCCTTAACTACTATGTACTTAAATAAAAAAATAAGTGCAATGTACTTATTGTGTTCATATTGTATTGCAAAACACTTTTGCTGCTGTTGAGGTGGATACGGGTAAGGTTAGGGACAGGTTTGGTGGTATGGGTAGGTTTAAGGGTGGGTTCAAGTGTAAGGGATGGGTCAACAGTGTAACTATAAATGTAATTACATATAGATATTTTTTAAAATATAAGTACAATGTAAACATGTATGTACACAATATGTGCATTGTATCAAATGATTAATTTAAATGTAAGTACAAGGCCATCTAATATAAAGTGGAACCAGTTTTTATATATCATTTTTACTTTAATTATTGCCATTCCTAGTTTCTGTAAATTAAAAAGTGAATTGCTCTGTCATTACAGCAGAAGTGGCATTTACTGTATGTCTCGGGGGCTTTGAATATTGAGCCAAACTGAGGAGGATCTACACTGAATCTCTTCTCATCCAGCAGCAGCTCTTATTGAACATGAACATCACAAACAAACACATGAAGCAGCAGATGCATCGTAAGAGTCCATATGAGCTTCATTCATGATGCAGTCTGCTTTCACTGTCTGGAAAAGAGCAGCTGGAACATTTGGAAAGTCTCACGGCTTCAGATCGACGTGAAGGTGAATTTATAACTATTCATTAATGCACTGGATTTACAGCAAGACATGAAGATGTGCCTCATACTGAGTGTGATTGAAAGCCTGTGTGTGTGTGTGTGTTATAGTGTGTGTGTGTGTGTTATAGTGTGTGTGTGAGGAATGACGCCGGCTGAAGCTGAGATGCATTTTCTGGAGAATGTAAAGAAACTGTCTATGTATGGAGTCGACCTTCATCATGCAAAGGTACACTTGAAACACACACACACACTCAGTCTCTCACACACACACACACACACACACACACTTCTCGGACAGCACGCCAAATACGCTTTACCTTTACTCTGTTTATTATATGTAAGTGTGAACTCGTCAACTGATAATTAGGACTGCACTGACCAATAACCGATTAAACCACCGACAGTTTTTAAAATGAATTCTGAACGAAAACAAATATAACTGTGCTGAACTTTATTATAAATAAAATATAAAAAGTATTGAAACAAAAACATTTTTCGCGATCCAGCATTATATCTGTATTACCAATATGCAAAAAGACAATAAAAATACTTTAATGAAAAATAAAGTACTGAACCATAAGAATGTACTGTACTTTGTTAAATAAAAATAAATTTAGGAAATACCTTGATAATTCATGTTGCTACTTAGTGCATTAACTAATGTTAACAGATACAACTTTAAAACTTAAAAATGTATTAGTAAATATTGAAATGAACATCATCTCACAATGAACAATACTTCTACAGCTTTTATTAATGTTAATGTTAATGTTACCAATGGAATCTTATTATAAATGGTTACGATTCATAAAAATCTGGAGGAAGCGTTATTATGGATTATAAAAGCGTCTTAATGCTGGATTTGTTTAAGCTTTTGTCTTCTCCAGATGTTCACTGATGGACTGGAGTGCTGTGGATTACTTGTGGATTATTGTGATGTTTTTATCAGCTGTTTGGACTCTCGTTCTGACGGCACCCATTAACTGCAGAGCATCCATTGCTGAGACACTGATGCAGTGCTACATTTCTACAAACCTGATGAAGAAACAAACTAATTTACATCTTGGATGACCTGAGGATGAGCTAATATTTTCAGCTAACCTTCATTTTTCAGGAACTGTTGCTTTAGCGTGAGGTATTTCCTCATGCGTCACTTCATGAAGTTCTCAATGTATAAAAACTTCTCTAGTCTTCCCAGTTAAACTCCTGATGGTGAATGTGAAGCCACTGACCAATCAGAGGCCAGTATTCCGGCGATCATGATCTCGTTCTGATGTCCTTTGATTGGCTCAGCTGTGAATGTGACAGAATTACAGTGTTTGTCTGAGAACACAAACAGTCCTGCCGTTCCTCGCTGACCTGAGATCAGTGCTAATGAGCACACAATGGAATGCTAATTGCGAGTATTGTCTCGCAGCGCTGCTGTTGTTTTAACCCTGATCAACATGCTCTCTTTATCTTATCAGCTCCAGTCAAACAAACAAACCCTCCGAACCCACAGACTAAACCAGCTGCTGCGCCAAACACACGCCTCGCTGCTGACTTACAACACAACAACTAGATTAACTAGCCACTAACTACCCGTTCAACCCCACAAACGTCAGTTCTTCATTGATATGCAGCTGCTAGGATGTTTTAGGTGTTTTCTTACTCTCTCAAGAACACACACACTCAAGTACGTGAATGTCTTTCATTTCAAACTAACTTGCTATATGTTGTTTACATCTTTACTTTTGTAACTAGTTTCTGCATGTACAGTGGTGTGAAAAAGTTTTTGCCCCCTTCCTGTTTTTAATATGCAAAAAAAAAAAAAACAGGAAGGGGGCATAAACCTTTTCACAGCACTGTATGTAAAGCTGCTTTGCAACCATGCAAAATTGTGAAAAGCACTGAATGTGAAGTGTGGTTAAGTTATTAAAAAAGGTAAAGGTCATGATTATAAAAAAATTACTGCATGATTATGAATTATTATTATTATTTGCAACTCAAAACATTTATTTTTATCTATACTATTTTTATACTCAACAAGTAGAACTCAAATACAGTGTATTAATCATAACAGGTCAACAGAGTATTCAATACAAATAAATTACTAAAGTATTACTTCAATAACACATTAAATTGTTTTATTTGCAAATTGCTCATTGTTACATTTGTGCTGTAGGCAAAAGTTGCGTTTGGAAATTCTGCCCTTACAGCACCAAACGTACTAGATGTTTCTCTCATTTTCTTTGATTTGCCCAAAAAAGTCTCATTAAAACAAATTACACAGCATCACCTTAAAGTAATTTCATTATTCTCAGATTTGAAATACATGGTGAGACTTGTGTCTTTAGCTGGAATGAGTTTCTAGACTAAAGGTTTCTTCAGAAAAATGTGCCAAGTCTGCAACACAGATTCCCAATAGTGTGCACTCCAGTGAGTTCAGATGTTTAGCAAAAGTACAGCAAAACTGATTGTTGGTGAGTTTCACAGCTTGTGAACACACACACACACACACACCACACACACACAATCTCACACACACACACACTCACTCACACACTCACTCACACACTCACTCTCACACACACACACACACACTCAAGAGAGAGAGTTTGAGAGGTCAATCAGAGCCGAGTTTCCTCCTGTTTATAATCTCCCTGTTTTCAATCTGGAGTTAAATGAAGCAGAATATGTGGCGGTGAGCAGATTGTGTGTGTTTGTGAGTGTGATTGTGGCCGTTAGTCCAGTTTCTCTAAATGAACAGAACTGCGATTACTGCACGAGTGCTGCAGCCGCTACCAAAATAACTCAAGTAGCGTTAATCAGACTTCCACATCGTTTCATTTAACGCTGATCCACACACGACCTCACGGTGAACCGCCGGAGAGCGGGCATCACAGGGAAAGCTTTATTGTGACGGACGCTTCATCAACGAGTGCTGCAGCCGCTACCAAAATAACTCAGGTAGCGTTAATCAGACTTCCACATCGTTTCATTTAACGCTGATCTACACATGACCCCACGGTGAACCGCCAGAGAGCCGGTTATTGTGACGCTTCATCAAAGGACCACGGCTACAAACTTTCTCAGGGCTTTCAAGTCAAGATTTGTTCCTAGAAAGAGCATAATCTGGTTTAATCTCTGCGACATGAGCTCACCATTATTTTTACCAGCAGTGCTTCAAAAACCATCCGGCAGCCGAACGAACGAACGCTGGCGGATATTTGCATAGTGAGGTCAAAAACGAGCCACATCACAGAGCGGAGATGCAAGGATGGACGTAAGGATCCGGGAGCGTCCCGAGGAGACTGACCTGCTCCGAAGGCGAAGAAGAAGCTCTTGTCGGGCTGCTCCTCCAGCAGCGCTCTGACGCGGCGGCCCATGCGCTCGTTACGCTTGTAGATCAGCTCCTGTCTGAAGTAGCGCTCGATCTCCTGCGCCGTCACCTGCTCGCTCGCCGGCAGCGTCGCGTTCTTGAAGCTCGGCACCTGGACGCAAATCACACAGATATCGCTGCAGTCTAGGCTAGAAAAACAGCTGTTTTTACAGTTTTTCTCGATTGCTAACACACTATTTGATTGTAATTGTAATTAGGGGCAATTTGTTCTGCAGCATGATAGATTTTGTATTTACACCACATACAAGACAGACAGTACACAACATCACAGTTTTTCTCGATTGCTAACACACTATGGCCTGGTTTCACAGACAGGGCTTAGACTAAACGAGGATTAGGCCAATAGTTCAATTAGGACATTTAAGTAATTTTTATGAACGTACTTAGAAAAAAACATTACTGGTGTGCAGTGTTGGGGGTAACGCATTACAAGTAACGCGAGTTACGTAATCAGATTACTTTTGTCAAGTAACTAGTAAAGTAACGCCAGTTACTTTGTTTTCCCATTTATTGACTGACAGCTCTCCTGTCCCCATATTGGGA